GATGATGTATATGAAGTGCTTGCTTAGAACAGATCAAATCAAATGGTAGCCATATCAGGTGGAACTGCCTAGTAGAGGAAGGGGGGACCAAGAACAGGTATGGAAACTCTCTGGTGTGACTTATTATCTCCCAGTTCTTAATTTGTCTCAAGAAGGAAAGTGAAGTAGGTTTAAAATATGGAGTTCGAAGCTGCTCTGCCTTAGCTCAAATCCTGGTTTCACCACTTCTTTCTTGTGTGGCCCTAGGCAAATTATTTAATGCATCTGACAGTGGAATTGTTATGAGTAAATTACAAGTAAACCATGTGTTTGCCTTATTATTAGTCACTTTCCCCCCTACCGATAGTCAGGAGTCTTTCACTAAATATGCAGTGAGTTGCCTCACTGTGGGACCTGACTGTCCTACATTTACAAATCTATTCTTTATTAAAGGAACATTAAATCACTCTTAAATATATATATATATATATATATATATATATATATATATATATATATATAATTGATTTTTTTACAGAGAGGAAGGGAGAGGGATAGAGAGTTAGAAACATTGACCAGATGCCTCCTGCACACCCCCTACTGGGGATGTGCCCACAACCAAAGTACATGCCCTTGACGGGAATCAAACCTGGGACCTTTCAGTTCGCAGACTGACACTATCCACCGAGCCAAACCAGTTTTGGCTAAACTACTCTTTTAAAAACCATGCCAGTATGTTGAAAGTGGGAGATGAAACGTAAAATCGGTCTCCTCTATTTCTGTGGGCCACAGATCCTCAGTTCAAGTCATTTCTGGAATTTTCCCCTCAATGGCTTGACTCCAGAAAGGAAGACAAAGCAATCCTACAAATGCAAATAACAACAGAAAACATCTGGTCTGCAGAAGCACAGTTTTATTTTATCCTACAAATAGGGAGTCTCCCACTTTTCCTGCATCCACAGATTCCTGAAGATTCCTGTGTCGTTTCAGACAAAGGGTCCTTTTTGGGGGTCATGCTCAGTCTAATTGCACTATTTCACAAGCTAACCCATAGTGTCACAGGAACACCTTGCAATTAGCTTTCCGTACCTGCCTGTGAAATGTCTCTTTTAACCTGTCATTGCTTCCCAGTAGTTCCAGAGGGTGGACTCCACATATGGAATCGCTCAGCACACGTGAGCGTTCCATCCGTAGCTCACAGTTTTGATCCACAGCAGGTTTAACTACTCTTTCCAAGTGAAGGCCAGGATGTGGGGAGAGCCCGAGAGGGAGACAGGATCTAGTGTTACAGTCAGGAACACGCAGCTTAAGGCCCGAGAACTGGAACTGGGGCATTTGGCATTTCTGAGCAGAGATTTCCAAGGTTTGTAAGGAGTTTTCTTAAATCAGTGAGAACTTGTGGCATTTGGAAACATGGCCATCTTGCTCCACATATTTTTTTTTTTCTTCTCATTAACTCCTTTGGTTTGGACTCTAATCTTTCTTGAAGGCAGTGGAGATGGAAGGTAGCACTGGAACTTCTACCATCGACCTCCTCGTGAAAACTGAGTACAAGTGCACAAATAGCACGCTGACACGCGGTGACAATTGGATGTGAAGAAGGACCACAGATGCCTGTAGTTACAAAGGAGACCCAGACACCACGTGCTTGCAGTTCTGCAGCAGACAGCGCTCCCCGCTTGTAAACGTTTTGAGGGAAACAAGAGTTGAAAGTACTCCAGGTCTACATATTGCATTAGTTGAAGCTCTTAAGATTTCTGAATTATCTTCTTTTTTTTATGTCATTGATCTGTTAGATAAATCAGGTTATTCATTTTTTCTAATATCACTGTTTGCTCTCTTGTATTATTTAACGTCTCTATCCTCTGTATTTCTTGTAATTTGGTATGAGATCTAGATACTTCATTAGATTCAGATGAAAATTTTTTTCTTTAGTCAAAACTACATCAGTCCTGGTGGATGGCTCAGTTGGGAGCACCACACTGTGCACTAAAAGGTTGTAGGTTCGATTCCCAGCCAGGGCACATACTAGTATCTAGACTATGGGTTTCATCTATAGTCAGGGCACTTACGCACTTACAGGAGGCAACCAATCGATGTTTCTCTCTCATATTGGTCCCTCTCTCTCTCTCTCTCTCTCTCTCTCTCTCTCTCTCTCTCTCATTCACTCTAGTTCTCACTCTCGCCCTTTCTTTCTCAATAAAAACATATCCTGCACAGCTGGCGTGACTCAATAGTTAAGCACCAACCTATCAACCAGGAGGTCACAGTTTGATTCCAAGTCAGGGCACATGCCTGGGTTGTGGGTTCTATCCCAAGTGTGGGGTGTGCAGAAGACAGCCAATCAATGATTCTCTCTCATCATTGACGTTTCTACATCTCTCTCTCCCTCTTCTTCCTCTCTGAAATCAATAAAAATATACTTTAAAAAAATAGTCAATTGACTTTAGACAAAGCATGAATTATTTTATTTTTGAAAAACTGAAGGGTCCTTTACAATTTCTCTCAGTAGCCCATTTTAGTATCAAAACAGAGCATTTTAAACCTTTAAGAATAAGAGAGATGAAAATCAAAACAACAATGAAGTACCATCTCACACCTATCAAAATGGTATCATTAACAAATTAACAAACAAGTGTTGGCGAGGATGCGGATAAAAAGGAACCCTCATGCACTGCTGGTGGAATGCAGACTGGTGCAACCACTGGGGAGAACAGTATGGAATTTCCTCAAAAAACTGAAAATGGAACTCCCTTTTGACCCAATAATCCCACTCCTAGGAATATATCCTAAGAAACTAGAAACACTAATCAAAAATGATATATGCACCCCTATGTTTATAGCAGCACAATTCACCATTTGAAACAGCCTAGGTGCCTGTCAGCAGATGATTGGATCAGAAAACTATGGTATATCTACACAATGGAATACTATGCTGCCATAAAAAGAAGGAATTCTTATCATTTGCAGCAACCTGGATGGAATTGGAGAACATCATGCTGAGTGAAATAAGCCAGTCAATGAAAGAACATCATGCTGAGTGAAATAAGCCAGTTAATGAAAGAAAAACACTACACGATCTCACTCATTTATGGGTAATAAAGAACATTATAAACTGATGAACAAAAAGATAGATACAGAGACAGTAAAGCAACAGACTGTCAAATTACAGCGGGAAGGTTAGGGAGATATGGGGGAGATAAGAGATCAACTGAAGGACTTGTATGCATGCATATAAGCATAACTAATGGACGCAAAGGTCTGGGGGGTGAGAGCATGTATGGGATGGGGAGGCAATGGTAAGATATGTACACATATAATACCTTAATAAAAGAAGAAGGAAAAAAAATCAAGCTATGCTATTTCAACAACTTGTGACTTAGGTGAATTACCCCCTAGGCTAATTCATATACTAACCATTTAAAAATTAGAAAAGTTATGAGGGTGATAATGAAAAACTGTCTCAAACCTTGTCTGGGATATAACTTTTGTATGATAGCATTGACAATCTCCTTTTAGGAAGAAATCACCATTTCTGACAAAATATAACCTAATTGTGATAAATTCTAAAGGAATTATGAAATATTCTGAAAAATTACCTTTTCTCATTCTGGGCTGTCAATCAAAAGTTAAATCGTCTTTAACCAAATACTATTTTATCTTTTTTTTTTTTGTATTAATCTAAGTAGTCACCTAAAAACAAAACAAAAACTACATGTCTCTAATTTTACTGACTCCTTGAATTGGCCTGTTCTAGGTATTTTCTCTTTTGGCAATATTAAAATTAAATTTTAATACATTATCATAATAAATTATCTGAAAGGTTTTTTTAAACCATTGTGCGGCTCATATGTCCAATATACATAAATATTGTTGTGATAACAGACAAACCTCATTTTTCCCCTTTAATGATGATGATTGTGTGTGTGTGTCCTACATTCTGTCTCACTCAGGTTAGTACATTATAGTGGCAATAACCCACCTTAGGAGTCTATGAAAGTAAAACGTTCTGTTCAAAGACTATAAGCTAGCTTAAGCTAGATCCTTGATGTGGCATGCTATTAATATAGTAAACATTAATTACATGGATGTGAAAGGAAGGCGGGGGAGAAGGAAGGACAAAGGAAAAGAAGATATTTTATGCAAACTCCTCTCTCTCTCTCTCTGCCAGTGGGCAGCGGTGTCTGTATTATATCTGTGTCATAAGAACAACACTGGAGCCCTAACCGGTTTGGCTCAGTGGATAGAGCATCGGCCTGCGGATTGAAGGGTCTCAGGTTCAATTCCAGTCAAGGGCATGTACTTTGGTTGCGGGCACATCCTCAATAGGGGGTGTGCAGGAAGCGGCTGATTGATTATTCTCTCTCATCGATGTTTCTAACTCTCTGTCCTTAAAAAAATCAATAAAATATATTAAAAAAAAAAAAAAAAAGAACAACACAGGGACTCAGATAGTTTTTGAATGAGTGAATGAATGAAGTGACTACCCAACTCGGGTACACTATTGCTTGAAGGTGAAGCGATGGAGTCAGTATCTGCACCTTTCCCCCGTGTTATGATTCTGTGGCTGCCTTGACTTTGAAGAACTGGCTAGATTGCAGATCCGTTTTAAAATCTGGAAAGCAAAATGCTCTCAGAGAAAAGGCAGGGAGAAACACACCTCTCCGCGCGTCCACTTCCATAATTCCTATCATGATTATTCACATGGACAGGCGCCGCGGATGCATCAAGACTCTGTGCACCCTCGGAGCTCACCTGGGGCTGCAGTCTGAACGTAACGGAGCCCAGTGGCATCGCACCCAATCGCAGCCGGCCTGCTTCCGGGGGTGCACAGGGTTCCAATGGGTGCGCTCTCCCGCCGACCAGGAGGGAAACTGCTGAAGTCATGAGGCCGCCCCAGCGGAGCCCGCATGCGAGTCATGTGAAAGCTCGGGCGGCGCGGCTGACCTCTGGCAGGAAGGCAGGGGCCGGGGACGGAGAGGCCGGGGCTCGGGGCGCGCCGGCTCCGGAGCCTGGAGACCATGGGCCAGGAGCTGTGCGCCAAGACGCTGCGGCCCGGCTGCGGCTGCCATCGCTGCGGGGAGGGGGGCGACGCGCGCGGCTGTCAGAGGAGAGCGCCCGCCAGCACCGGCGCCGAGGCTGCCATCCAGGTACTGGTCCCCACGCCGCAGCATCTCCCTCTGCCATCAGCAGGAGAGGCTGGCTCCCTTCTCTGGCGGGCAGGCAGGGTCTGCTGGCTCTGCGGTAGGTCTCAGCCAATAAAAAGACGTTGCTGTTAAAGTCACAGGGGGATTTATGGCCATTGTTATCAAGTCTGGAGTTGTGCTTTGTAAACCAAAAGGGAAAAAAAATATCCCCTAGGCTTTGGGCTGCCTGGAACTCCGTGGACCTTGAGGCGGAGAAAGGGGGTGCTATTCTCTTGAAATCTCTCCAGTTCCCAAGTGCAGGGTTAGGGCTGCCCCTGTGAAAAGCACGCTGCGGTGTTGCCATGCTGTGGGTTTCCATGTTCAGAAATCAGCTCGTGGTGATGAGCAATGCATACTAGAAAATTATCCCCCTGCAGGGATAACTGAAAGGGACATGGGGGAATGGAGGGGGGGGGGGGTGGTGGAGAGAGATGGAAGAGTGAGTTAAACAGAGATAAATTCCATCAAAGAAATTTAGGTCAGCCTAAGTTTTCAAAGATATTTTTAGGTGAAGAAAGAATGTAGTGTTTCAACATAGACTGATGAACTTGAACAGACCCAGAGACAAGGAGGCATGGATCAGACTGTGGGACCTCAGAGGGTAGGTAGGGGAGGGTGTGGATAAAGGGGAGAAATCAACCAAAGGACTCGTGTGCATACATATGAGCCAAACCAGTGGTCAAGGACAACAGGGGGTGGGGCATGTGTGGGAGGGGTGTGGGATGAGAATGGGGGGAAGAGGACACATATGTGATACCTTAATCAATAAATTTTTTAAAAGAATGTAGTGTTTTAACAATGGATATCATTAAAAAAAAATTTTTTGTGTGTGTGTTTTCAAGTGCTCTGACCTTCAGGAAAAGTGCCTTATGAGGGTACTGAAGCCTAGAAAATATTTGAAACATGAAAATCAGGCAAAAAGGAAAAATGAAAGAATTGTTGATGCCAGCCACTAGGTCTCAACTTGGCATACATTTTACTCCTGCACATTCCTTTCTCCTCCAGCTAACGGACCTAAAGGAAGCATCATGTTCCATGACTTCATTTCGCCCCCGGGGACGTCAGGCTGCCCATGCCCGGAAGCTCAAGAGTAAAAGGCCACGGAGTAACAGTGAGTCTTTTCAGGAAGAGGATCTGAGGCAGGGCTTTCAGTGGGTGAGTGAGCAGCTGATGCTGATCAAGAGGATTTCATGTGTGCTTGTCCAGGGAGGCTGGCCCCACTTCCAGGGCAATTACTGAGCTGACCTTCCAAGTACATTCTAGAAAATTCCTCTGGGGGGGAAAAAGTCAACATTAAAAAAACAAAAGTGCTCTTTTTTTTTTTTTTTTTTTTTTTTTCTTCTTTTTCCTTTCTTTCCCACCTCTCACCCCTACCTGTTCCCTTTAAGCCGACGAAGACCCTCCTCCCTTTTGGGGCAGCCTCATCCTACTTGAACTTGGAGAAGCTGGGTGAAGGTTCCTATGCTACGGTTTACAAGGGGATTAGCAGGTGGGTGACTCATAGCTGGAGAGACTTTAGAGATGAGGGTCCTTCCCGCTGGTTTGACATTGTAAAGCCAGGTGACCCGTAGCAGAAGTTCAGGATCCGTGCAAGACTAGCATTGGTCAACGGGGAGAGACATGATGACTTAAGCAACCTTGCAAGAAAAGCAAATTTCTCCTGCCCCAATTTAGATCAGCCCACTAAAATGTTTTATCAGCGTTTCTTCTCTTGTATTCAATTCAAAGTAGACTTCCTCTACTACTGACCCAAAGAAGCTCAGTTGGTAAGATGTCTCTGAAGTGCTTTTCACATCCCCCCTAAAACACAGTGGAAGTCTGCAATGGCGGCCTTGCATGTGCTCCTTCGTTCTTCCACTTTGCCCTCAGAGAAGAAACTGAAGCTCAATTCTACAAAGCATGGTACATGCAAAAAAATGATTAATCCTGTGTTTTCTACACTCGTAAAATAAACAAAATGGCTGAAGAATAAAAATACTGCTAACCCAGATGCCAAGTGTCCATTTGGCTAACAATAAACTTTGTCAAACATATATGAAAGATCTGTGAACTCCACTGCTTTTTAGTAAAAAAAAAAAAAAAAAAAAAAAAAAAAAAAAAAGTTGGAGGTCTGATTTCTTTATGTCACTTTGATGTTAAAAAAATAAAATGGTTCAACCAAGGTATGTGCCCTTGATCAGAATCGAAACGGGACACTTCAGTCTGAAGGCTGAAACTCTATGCTGAGCTAAACTGGCAAGGGAGATGTCCAATATTTTAAGAGACAGAAAGCAAGTTAAAGATCAATGTGTGCTCTGTGATCTAATTTAGAAAAAAAAGCACTCAAATGTACTTACTATACATATGTAAATTTGTATGTGCATAGTGGAGTCTGGAAAAATACACAAGATATTCTTAGAAGTAGATACTTCTAGTGGTTGATACTGGGATGGAGAAAAAAGATCACCAAAACTTTCCGCTTTACCCCTCAGCACAAAGGCATTCATTATAGATGTAATTTAAGAGCAACTGTTAAAGTACCATAGAGATCGATGCCAAAAAGGCATGTGATAACAATTCAACATCAACTACTAGTTTTTAAAACTCTGAGCAAAAAAGGAATGGGATGATACTTCCTCACTATTCCATCTAATAAAGAGGGGATATACAAATTAACTGCCTCACAAAGATGGCAGCACCTAAAGCCAGTAAGGAGAAAATATGCTAATTGACTGTCACACCCTCAAAGATGGCAACACCTACAGCCATAAGATGGTGGCCTGGGTGCCTGCCTTCAGAGTTCTCCAGTCCCTTCACCCCCCCCCAGCCACCTAGGGCTGCCCGAGGCTCAGGTAACCAGGGTCAGCCGAGGCTTGCGCTGCCAGCAGTGGCAGCAACAGAGGTGTGATGGAGGTATCGCCTTCCCCTGATTGCCAGGTTGCCTCCTGCCCCTGAGGGCTCCTGGACTGTGAGAAGGGGCAGGCCAGGCTGAGGGACCACCCTCTTCAGTGTGTGAATTTTCATTCACCAGGCCTCTAGTGTTATAGAATATTTTACATCAATAGCCCACATACTTTTTGTTGTTGCTGTTGCTAATTACTAGAGAGACAGCACCATCAAGTTAGAGATAGGAAAGAATGCCATTATCTTTCATAGTTAAATAAAATTAATGTTCTAGCCAACACAATGAGGAAAAGAAGAGTGAATATCACTTTTTTGGGTTATAGAATTGTCTACCTAAAAACCCAAGAAATTATCAAAATCAGTATGATAAACAGTAAGATAAGTTAAGAAATAAAAATATCCTTATCAAAAGTTGTCTTTATGTATTAACAATAACCATTTAAGAGAAAATATAGTGGTAGAAGTTACTCTCACAGTAGCAGTAACAAAAATCATTAGCTTCAACAAGTAGGCAGGGTTTATATAAAGATTTATTAAGGGACAGTAAACACTTTAAGAGCCATAGGGCATTCATTTTTTTCCCCATACAGGCACTCATTCAGTCTAATATTTTTTAAGCACCCATTGTGTGCTAGGCACTACTGTAGCCACTAAGGGTTCCTCTAACAAGGAGATAAAACCCCCTGCTCATATGGATTATACTTTCTAGTGGGGGATGAGATAGGCAATTATTATTATTTTTTTAATTAAATATATTTTATTGATTTTTTACAGAGAGGAAGGGAGAGGGATAGAGAGTTGGAAACATCGATGAGAGAAACATTGACCAGCTGCCTCCTGCACACCCCCTACCGGGGATGTGCCTGCAACCAAGGTTCATTCCCTTGACCGGAATTGAACCTGGGACCTTTCAGTCCACAGGCTGACTCTCAGCCAAACCAGTTTCAGCTTAGATAGGCAATTATTAAACTTAGTAAAATACTGAGTTTGTCAGAGAGTGAAAAGTGCTTTCAAAAAGGATAAAACAGGGAAGAGGGGTAACGGGTGGATTACTATTTTAAATACAATGATTGGAGGAGGCCACACTGAGAAGGGAACACTTGAACAGACTCTGACACAGGGAGGTGTGAGCTGTGCACATGGTTAGTGGAAGAGCTTCAGGCAGAGGAACAGCAGGTGAGAAATCCCTGAGGCAGGAGCAGGCCTGGTGCTGGGAGGGGAGAGTGGAAACAGATGAAGGCAGGGAGAAGACGCAGTTGCAGTAGGACAGGTGTATAGGGTCTTGTAGATCATCCCAGGGACTGTTGTAAGGATATTTGGATTAGAACATCTAATAGTGCAAAGATGTTAATAATTCTCTAAGTTAGAGTCTTACTGTATTGTAAGTGTGTTCAAAACCTACAATAATTAAAATAGTGTAGCACAAGTATAAGAAAAGACAGATCAAAGAAGTATGAGTTTTAAAAGTCCAGAATACTCAGAAATCCAAGTATTAGTAAGATCTCATATATAATCATGGTGGCAATTCAAATCAGCAAGGAAAAGAAGATGGTCCAATAAATGGAGCTGGGACAATTGTTAGCAACTTGGAAATACAAATCCCCAGTGGGTTAAAGAGTTAAATAATAATAATAATAATTTTAAAAAATCCAGGAACTAGAAGACTAGCTAAGAGAATTCTGTGTGTACATAACACTTAAGGGAAGGTTCAGAACGCGTAAGGGAAGATTGGAAGCGTCCATGGTACCCCATCAGTCCAAGTATGTTCTACAAAGCCCCAATTATGAGATACCTTAATAAAGGTTTTATTGAAAGAGTTACTTTGGTAAAATTGACACTGGGAACCTTGGAACAAACTAAAATGCCACCTTCATTGTAGGTGCTGTCCACATCTTTAAAATGTTCATGAATACCAGTACTATCTAAGAAAGGCTGAGAAAAATTTTAAAGTATAAAGGATTTTCTAAGCATATTTGACCAAAAAACTTTTTTGGAGGGGTGGGGAGAATTTCACAGAGCTATATTCTGAATAAAACATTTTGTAGTGCCCCATGCCAAAGCAAACTGTGACCTTGAACCATAGCCTGACCTCTGCTAATAGGCAGTGAAGGAGGTTACATGGTTTGGGGGTGGGGGAGCATTTTAGAAAGTGTTGAACAACATAAAGTTTTTAAAGTTAAACCTTTCAAAGACATGATAAGGCAAACAAAAGAAATTGTTGAAGAGTATATGCAAAATAGTTTAGTAAAAAGGTGGGCAAATAAGGCAAATCATAAAAGAACAGAAAAGACTAAAACATATATGAAAATTCAGTTTCACAAGTAAAAAAATAGAAATTAAAATGAGATAATCCTTTTTATCTGTAAACTAGAGGCCCAGTGCACAAAATTTGTGTATGGGTAGGGTCCCTAGCAACTGCTGGCTACTGACCAGGGCCTTCCTTCATTCTATGCTGCCCCCTGGTGGTCAGCACACATCATAGCGATCGATTGAACTCTGGGTCAGTTGAATTCCCCAGGAGACACTTTGCATATTAGGTTTTTATATGTATAGATATGCCAAAAAGATTAAGACAAAAGCATGCTTCTAAAAACAAACCCTACAAATGTGTAGCTATCCTACCCTCAAGGAGGTGGAGCACAGCTCCTCACTCCTTAAGTGTGAGACATTCTTCCCTAAATATAGTGTTGGGGGGTGTGGGTGGGAGATAACTACAGGGAAGAAATCTGACAAACGTTACCTCAGGCAGGTGATTAAAGCCAACATCAAAAACCATAATTATGATGATATGTGCCCTTACTATGGTGTGATGAAAACAGTACTCTACCTCCTCAAAACTCCTAACCCCAGTGTTATAATCATAAGAAAACCTCCAATAGAGAGGTACCCTACAAAATTCTCCACTAAAGTGCCAAGGTGCTCAAAAACAAGGAAAGTCTGGAAAATTGTCACAGCCAAGAGGAGCCTAAAGAGTCACAACAACTACATGTAATCTGGTATTCTGGATGGGATCCTGGAGCAGAAAAAGGACATTAGGCAAGAACTAACGAAATCCTGGTAGTCATATTGCAATATATAAATGCATCAAATCAATACATTGTACACCTTTAACTTGCACAACATATGCCAATTATATCTCAATTTAGAAAAAGACTAAGATAAAAAGTTGATTGCTTTAATAAATTTATACATCTACTGATCGACTTCAGAAGAAATAAAAAGAAGTAATAGCTACTGTAAAAAAACATTTTGAAATAAGATGGAAAAGTCATAAATGCTATAAAAAGAAAAGGTAATATATACCAGCAAATGAATGTTTAAGACTTAAAGGTCATCTGTACTCTACCACTTTTGTGCACGTGTGCATTTTGTCTTCCATGTGCACACAGTTTGCACCTGACTCTTGAACAACACGGGTTCGCTTACACACAGATTTTTTTTCAACAAATACCGTAAATGTATTTTCTCCTCCTTAGAATTTCCTTAGTAACATTTGCTTTGCTTTTCTCTAGCTAACTTTATTGTAAGAATGCAATATACAACTCATAAAACATACAAAATATGTGTTAATTGATTGTTTATGTACAAGCAAGGAGATTGTTAGGAGGTTAGTACAATAACTCCGATGAAAAATAAGAATGGCTGAAATAAGTATGCAAAGGATGATAAGGATGGCTGAGATAAGTGCACAAAGGAAAATAAAAGGAACAAAAGACATCAAAATATTATGAGGAAGGATCTGATTGGGGGTGGGGGCATTCTCTGATTTCTGCATTCTCCAAATTATTTTTTAGAATGAACATGGATCACTTTGGTAAAGAGAAGAAATGTTTTTGTATACATATACATGTTATATGACTTTTAAGACTTTTTATTTCGAAAATTTGTAGATTCGTATGCTAGAATATATTTGGAAGGAAAACTTAATTATGATACATTGTAATGAGCCATCTTAATGTGCGCCCTTTCCCCCCCATTCTTCCAGAATAAACAAACAACTAGTGGCTTTAAAAGTCATCAGCATGAATGAAGAGGAAGGAGTCCCATTTACAGCCATCCGAGAAGGTAAGAAGAGTGAAATGGACCTAACCAATATGTTTTAATTCGTTAATTTGAGGGGGAGAGGGATGAGAGGGAATGCATTGAGTCTATCTATTCAATATCTAGTTTTGATATTTCTAGAAGTAATATTATAGTTGTAATTTTGTTCTGCAGACCAGTTTTTCAAGTATATTTACACTATCATTTTGCCACTCATTTTTGAGGAAATTAAGACTCAAAAGTATTGTATTAGTTGAACAAGACTATAAACTCAATGAGTATTTACATACAGTATCTTCTTATGTGTTTGGTCCCATACTAAGTGTTAAGGTTATATTTGATAACCTCAGAAAAAAAATCCATATAAAAGATAAAATTAATAACATAATTACATAAATTCTTAGTAAACAATTTACCTCAAAATAATAAGTGGTTTAGATAGCATTTGAAAAACTCTTTGGGAAGGTATGTATGTTTAGTGTTGTGCCTGTATTGTCTCTGTACCCTGGGGAGTATAGCAAGTGGGTGAGGATGGACTTGGGTTTGAATCTTAGATCTACCAATTAGTATTGTGACTGTGGGTAGATTACCTATTTAAGATTTGGTTTATTGAAGAAAGAGGATAATAATATCACCTATTTCTTTGAGTTGTTATGAGAATAAGCATTTAGAGCACTAATCACAGGGTCCATTTTCAGAATTCAACAAATGCTGGCCATTATCATTCCATTCTTGTTTTATTTCCCTCAGTGATGACTTGTTCATCACCAAAAAACCACTATGGTGAATATAAATCTTTAAAATTTCATTTATTAACCTTTTACAGGAGCCATTTGAAATAAAATGAGAATGGGATTGCTGTCCATTTCATCGAAAACCCAGAGAAATGGCTCTTCTCTGGCCTCACTTTCCCCTTGTTGAACTGCTTCCTTCTCCCTTCCCTTCTGTACGTGCACATCCTGCGTGCACCACCGCCGGAGGTGGTGATGGATGAGAAGAAAAAGCCCGATCTTTGCTCAATATCATTTTCAGATGTAACAGAGCAGATGGTTCCAGTTACAACCAGTGTTATAATGGAGGTTAAAAAAAAACACACAACACACACTGAGATGAGAACCAGTTAGCATCCGTGTGGCTAATGGAGTCAGTAGATTTTGAAAGGAGCTTGGAAGGACGGGTTATGCAAACAGGCGTGGGGGGAAAAAAGCAATTCAGAAAATGAGTTTATAACCGAATTTGATGCCACTTTCAAAGGTCTTTCAGAGCCCCTGGGAAATGTGTTCCTCTGAATGCAACTGGAAGGGCCAAATGGCTGTCAGGTTATCCGGGGATTCCGCCTGGAAGGATCAGGTGCATTCTGGACGAAAGCATGGCTTTAATATAATGGAAACTGCATTTACAAGTGCACTTATTGGTGGCCCCCATTAAAGAGTGATCAGATTTAGGAAGAGATGGATGTAGGTCAAGGAGAATTTCTGCATGTAACACAAGTCCCCAGGTCACCAGCAGAGGGAGGGAGGGAGGGACTCTTGGCCCAGGTTCACCCCATCCTCCATGCACTTGTCTGTTGCTTCAGACTTGCCTCACTCCAAGACTTTGCCTGCAGCCAAGTTTTTAAGGGTGACATCTGACAAATCTTTTCCCCAGGGTTGCCACCCGATGCTTCTCAACATGGTATGGGAAAGCTGGACCGCTATTGCTCTGTAGGCAAAGCGTTCCTTTTATTGCATATTTACCAGGAGTTGGCTCCCCATCGCAGGTGCTTGCAGTTACACGTAGGCTCCCACCGTGGACTCTGTAGGCTTGCTTTATGAACTTACCTGACTGAATGCGCCACGTTACAATATTAAAAACCACACAAGGATTTGCGACACACAGCAGGTCGCCAGGCATCTAATTTCCAACGACGAGTGTTTCCTTTCCCAGCGGCGCAGGAGCCGTGGGCCCTGGTTAGAGCGGCCCTCTCCCCTCACGGAGAGAGAGGGCCTCCCTGGAAAACATTGGCACCGGCCCACTTTCCCTGTAAGGACTTGAAGGCTGCGAGGCCAGGGAGACGGGAGGTTAAATGGGAAGGGCTGGAAGGCAAAATAGGAACAGCTGGAATCCATTAGTTAAAATCCAGGGTCACCAGCTAAAAAGGCAACCGAAAGCCACGTGCAGAAAAACGGAACGAGTAATGCAGACTTCTTTAAAAAGCCTTGAAGAAGGAATTGCTTTTCCTGACCAGTTTGGCTGCACTGATGCTATAGCAGCCAAAGATTTATTGAGTATGATTTTACAGTATGTATGGTCTCTATATAAGCGGAATACCTGTGGCAGTTTAATAATCTGGTCATTCGGAATAGGTATTTGATCTTAACATGTAATATTGAAATTAGCAAAAGTATGAACAGCACTCAGGGAAGCATATTTTAATTCCCAGGCCAGATAATTTTCCCATATTACCTCTTTTGATTCTCTGAACAGCCTTTGAAGATCACCATTCTTCTTCTTCTAATGTATAGCTATAATTCAAACCAAATCTCTCTCATTCAAACATGTGTACACGGTCTATGCACTCATGCTACAAACTTATTGAGCACCTGCGATGGCCAGGTATTTTGCTGGCCACCGGATGCACAGCAGTGCACACAATGGACACAGTCTCTACCCTCATTCCTTTGCTAACTGAAAGGATTAGCTACCTTCCAGCAATTCAGAAGATCTTTCATAAGTGGCTCCAGAGTTATATTTTAAATGTCTGTTTTTACCACTAGGAGTAGGCTGATATTTGAAGTTTTTATCTAAGAATATGTTCCCTGGTTTTACTAAACTGTGCACCAATATTTTGATAATGTGTATTATTTTAAATATCTTCCTAAAAAATTAGAACTTTTTGGTTTAAAGCCAGGACTTTCTGTCTATTAGCAACATTTTTTAGGAAGCAGTTATATAACTAACCTTTTCTGATGTCTGAGCATATGACATAATTCCCCTTTCCCCAACACACACACACACACACACACACACACACACACACTCACACACACACACACACACACACACACTCACACACACACATATTGTACTTTTTAAAAATCCTTACACCAACTCTAGTAGGTAAAGCATACTGCTTTTGTTGTAGAGATGAAGGAAAACGGACGCTAGAGAGGTTAGGTAAGTTGACTGAGGTCCCAGAACTAGGAATCAGAATTGTTACGTAGTAGATAAAGTTTATTGTATTGTGATAAATGTAGGACTTCTTAACTAGAGCATTTCTCTTTAGCAACAGTAACAGTAAAAATCTGTTTTTTTATAATACATTTTGTATAAATGTTAAGCAAAATGCAGAAGAAACACTTAAAAATGTATATATATATATCTCATACTTGTCATTTTTGATTCTATCATGAACTCTACAGCACCAGTAACTGCAGTGCTTAAATTAGAAACAGTCGTAGCTAAGAATCTTTTAAGATCATTCTCTAGTTAAAAAAAAAATTAAAATTAAAAAAAAATTACCAAGTAATTATTCCCAGTTCATATATAAGAAAAATGAGCCAAAACTAGACTAAGGTTCCCCAAAGGTCATACAGTAAGGTACAGAATACCGATTAGAACCGCTGATTCATTGATTACCACAGATAGGTTGGACAGGTCAGGTTGACAAGAAGTTCTTCATTAAGTGCAATCAAACCGCATCGCGGACACAGCCTACTCACATTTGCATAGTTACATTTTTATAAAACAAAATGTTGCCAGAATGATGTTATGTGATCTCATTATAGTTCCAAAGAAATCGGATGAGAACTACTTACTTAGCATTTGTTTTAATATTTACCTTGATGATTTCTTTTCTTGGAATGCATAACTTGACTCACTGACTGGATCTGTGACACCTAGGCCAGAGGAAATGCAATATCAGGAAATACAAACTCCTTTTAATTCAATGCCCGGTGGGGGTTGGGGAAGGAATTGGCTCCATTATTGACTCTTACTTAAACTCATTTCAACTGACAGGTCTTCATTAATTCACAAAGCCTTATGAGCACCACGTGCCGGCCTTTGCTGAGGGATGGAGATGCAAAGATAGGGACAGGAACAGGACATTCCTTGATGAGCTCACAGCCTAGAAAGGGGTATTGGCTACCATATGTAATTGTGCCCTAGGACTTTGAGAGTAAGCCTTGTCCTTCCTGGTAATCATCTTTCCTTTAGATGATAAACTAAAGCAGAATAGCCCTAGCTGGTTTGGCTCAGTGGACAGAGTGTCGGCCTGCAGACTGAAATGTCCTAGGTTCAATTCTGGTCAAGGGCACATGCCTGAATTGTGGGCTCAATCCCCATTAGGGAGCATGCAGGAGTCGATAAATGATTCTTATCATTGATGTTTCTCTCTCTCCCTCTCTCTTCCTCTCTGAGGTCAATAAAAATATGTTTTAAAAAAATTAAACTAAAGCAGAACAGAGTAGAGTAACCTCAAAATTTCATGACTCATTGCACCTGCAAAGCATCAATTTTCAAAAAACTTGACTGAACCACAAACCCCAATGAAATGAACAAAACCAAGAAATTAAGTATTTCATATAATTGCAAGATAAAAATAACTTTTTCCTAAATTATTAGATATCTTACATATATGAGAATCCAATTAAATTCCTTGTAATGTTAAACCAATCAGTCATCCTAAACACCTTGAAGGATATTAAAAAAAAAAAAAAAGAAAAATACTTTGCATTTTAAAAACATGCTTAATAACTTTCAGTTGTAGGTTATTTTTCTTGATCTTTGGGGTTATGCCTTTTTTTTTTTCTCCAGGTTTTCTCTTTGGCTTTTCTGGGTGTTCTCATGATCATACCAAGTTAATATATGCAGAATTCTTACAACAATGCCTGACATGTGGTAAATGCTCAATGAGTGTTAGCTATCATCATCACCATCCTCATTATAAAAGTATTTTGGAAGCCCTCAAAGAAATTCCATCGTGATCCCATTTGTCTGGAGCTTTAAAGACTCCCCAAATTATCTTTGTGTCTTTTCTTTGAAGAGAAACAAAAATTAGTAGACTCAGAATACGTGAATTATAAAAACAGTAATTTTACAGGAATCAGGATGCTCTGGTTTTAAGACCTCTCCTTTCCCAGTTGGCGTTGCATCCCCCGGCTGCTTCACATGTAGAAGACACCACATCCTGCTATGAAGGTTCTGAGGCAGCCTTGAAATTAGAAGGAAGATCTTCCCTTTCTTGGTTTGAGACCCACATGTCTAAGGCTGTAGGCATTTTAGATTCCTCCAGTGGATGGACCATGAAATACATACTTTAACCATCATCTACTCTTTCATGTAAATTCCCTACTACTAATCATTAAAAGTCACAGTTTCCCTGTAAGTATTTCAGTATTCTTGGGTGTTTAAAAAAAAAAAAAAAAAAAAAAAAAAAAAGCAGTAGTAGGCATGGCCATAACCCAACAGTCATAATCTAATGAGGAAGACAAGTAAAAGAAACAAGAAATAAAAGTACCATCAGCCAAAACAGCCTATACCAACCAATTATAGGTATAGAAATGATATTAGGCAATTAGTGGCCACTGACTCAATAGTAAGTATTTATTGAATGTTTATAATATAGCAGATGTTGTTCTAGACCAGTGGTCGGCAAACTCGTTAGTCAACAGAGCCAAATATCAACAGTACAACGATTGAAATTTCTCTTGAGAGCCACATTTTTTTAAACTTAAACTTCTTCTAATGCCATTTCTTCAAAATAGACTCGCTCAGGCCGTGGTATTTTGTGGAAGAGCCACACTCCATGGGGCTAAAGAGCCGCATGTGGCTCGCAGGCCCCCGTTTGCCGACCATGGTTCTAGACACTGAAGACATAGCAATAAGCAAAAGACAAAAGTGCCTGCCCTTAATGGAGTTTATATTCCTAAGGGTGGAAACAGACTATAAGCAGGTATATAATATGCCAGTATAACAAGTGCTACCATATGCCAGGGGTGATCAGTTCTGTGAAGAAGGAGAAAGCAGGGCACAGGGATGGAGATCACTGGGGTGGGGGTGTCAAGGAAGCCTAGACTTTGAGCAGAGGCCTGAAGAAAGTGAGGAAGAGGCATGCAGTGAGCTGAGACAAAAGGATGTAGGCAGAGACAGAATGACTGTGAAGACCCAGGAGGAAATGTGTTGGAAATGTCCAAGGAATAGGCAGGAGGCCAATATGACGAGAGCAGGAACAGGGAGTGTGAGTTGACGAGGGCAGGAATGAAATAAAGATTTATAGTCACTGATATTCGCAGGGCGCCTCATCCTAAGTGAACATCAGACTTGGAGCTTTTTAGCAAATGATTGTTTGGAGCCATTACAATTAACCAAACACGCCATCATAATTTTAAAAATTAGCATCAGGAATTTTAGTAACATCATATTTAAGTGAGACTAAATTTTGTATTAAAAATAAATTTAAATATATTTATAATATTCTTAGTAATTCCAGCTTTACCATATCCATTTAAAATCGAATTTGGGTGCGTGTTTTGTAATGGGGGGGGGGGCGCATAAGAGAGAAAATGAACATAATTTGCAAATAAAAATACACATAAAATACCAGCAGCATGTTTAACTGATGGTTAGAAGTCATTGCAGGTGTAGAAGGTGTTGGAAACTCTAGCAGAAACAAATATAAACAACATTTAAAAAAATTTAAATGACAATTGGATGCAATAAATACCATATTATATTCGTTTCAGGGATGCTACATCGTGATTAGACATTTACATAACTGATAAAACAATCACCCCGATAAGTTCAGTCTCCATATCTGACACCCCTACATAGTGAAGCACAGCATTGCTGACTACATTCTGTTTACCGTACTGTACACTGCCATGGCTGCTTCCATAACTGGCAGCTTGCACGCTTTAATCCCTTCTCCTTTTCCCCCAGCCCTCCTCCCATCTGGCAACCATCAAAACGTCCCCTGTATCTGTGAGCTGGCATACACAAAACTTCAATTTATTAATCTTGGAGTGGGGATTCAGTGGGGCTGGAGGTGGAAGGGAGGGCCGAGTACCTGTTGGCTGGGATATTCATTCTAATTTGCAGCCGTGTGATGCCTGACAGTTGCCAGGGATCCGCGCCCGGCACCTGATCCCACCCTCCTGTCAGTCCTATGCAGTCAGGCTGGGGAAGACACTATCTCTTCCTAACAGGGAGTGGGCTGAGACTTGGGTGGAGATACCACCCCGAGCCTCCTTGGCTAGGAAGTGGCAGGGCCAGGATTCAGAGGAGGGCTTCTGGCTCCACAGTCAGCTCTGCGTTAAGACACTCAATAAATATACTTGATAGATGAAGTGCTTAGTCTCGGCTGAGCGTTGTACCGGGTGGTGTGGCGGGATCTGAAAGAGAAAGTCGCTCCCGTTATTCGCCTACAGCCTTCAGCCTGGGCCTAGGGATATTAAGCAGGTACCTGTAAAACTGTGCACGCACAGAGCAATGGACGTGAAAGAGTGAAGTAATACCTTTCGCTCAGGAGTCAGGGGGCGAACAGAAGAGTGATACTGTTCGTCAACAGAGCAAAGCAGGGTTAGCAGACAGAGGAGGGCTCCTTGGGTGGTAAGAGGCTGCCAGCTCACACTAAGGTGAGTGAAGAAGGAAATTTGCTGGCTTAGAGATCTGGAAACTACACACTAGCAGGGAGCCGGTGATGAGATCTGGAAACTACACACTAGCAAGGAGCCGGTGATGTCACCAGGAATCCAGGCCTGGCCATCCCCAACTCTGCTTTTCTCGGTCTCAGTTTCATTCCCAGGTATGGGTGAGCTGGCTGGAGCAGCTCCTGGTTGAGTCCTACAAGCTCAGCTCTGGCAGTGGAGAAGAGAGCACTGCTATCCTGAGGACACAGGCAAAGGGGGGGCTCTCCCACGCGTGGGCTTTGTGCCTGTCTCTGAACCAATCCCCGTGGCACAGGGCGCTGTGCTCTAATGGGACGGGCCTGGGGTACAAGCCCAGCCTTGGGTAGGGGTGGGTCAGCCCCGCCAGCATAGCAGGAGCTGAGCTGGGGAGGGGTTGCTTCCCCAGAGGAAAGTGGAGGGGCCCCGCTGGAAGGGGGAATGACAGCCAGGAGGCCAAACAACAGAGTTTCATTACAATGGGAACAGGTCGCTGAAGGGAGTAAGGTGGTTCCAAAATGTGAAAGGAGCATTTGGGCTTGTCCATCTCACCGAGTTCCGGAAGAAAGCTGGTGGCCCGGATTCATGATATACAGGCATCCCCTGCAGAATGTGGCTTTGAGGTTTTATTTGCGTTTTACTTTTTCCTTCCGTTTCTTCATATGGGGACACTCAGTTGAGGCTCATCCCTTTTTTGTGCCTTTTCTGCTCTCTTCCCTTCTGTTTCATCTCTGAAACCCCCAAAGACACAGCCTTTAAACCCCCCTGCCAGAGGAAGGGGGATGGGAGTGGGCTGGGAGAGGTTAATAACGGGGAAAGGAGGACTTATGCAATACTTTCAACAATAAAGATTTAAATAAGTAAATAAATAACCTCCCAGCCAGGCACTCACTGGCCTTTTGTGGTGATTTCTCCACTAAGGTGCCCTTACTGACCAAACAACAACCTGCAACCTGTTACTGGAGCTGCAAGAGACAGTCCTCAGGCTGCCCCCTGCCCTCAGCATCTCCCCATCCCCCTCAACATCCCCCCACCCCCGCCACACACACACACACACACACACACACACACACACACACACACACACACTCCCTCTAGGCTCCCAAGTTTGGCTCTGTTCCCTTTTCAAGTTTGCATTTTCTCCTTCCACAGGATTTGCTCTTCTCCCCTTAAGAAGTCCCCTCCACTGTTTATTCTGGTTTAACCATTTTTCATCCCAGGCTCTTATCCCTGCCTTCTCCCAGTCCCACCCACCAGCTCTGCTGAGCCCTGGGGGGATGTTGAAGTTTAGAAAATGGTCACTCGTTGCCAAGTCCTGCTCTAGAAGGCAGGGCACTCCGCTTCCTGCTCCCCCAATGGCCTTATCTCTCAGGCCTCCTCTCCTGTGATTCTGAAGCACAGACGATAAGATCCCCAGAGGACAGCATTTGCAAAGTGCTCTGAGTGCTTTGATGAAATTGATTGGGTAAATGGAAACATATTTCTTTTCAAACTGCTCTGGCCTATTAAGAAAGTAAGGTATGCAAGTGCAGTGACTCACCATTTAACAAATAATGAAGGTACTTTGTCATTTTAAATATTATTTCATAAGAGATATTTCCAGCAATAAAAAACCAGAACTGCTTGCTTTGAAATGTTTACAAAATAAATACTGCTTGAAATCAATAAAGCAGTGCTTTCGAGATTGTTCTTTGAATTAACATTTTGTTGAATTTTTCTAGCTTCTCTTTTGAAGGGTCTGAAACATGCCAATATTGTGCTCCTGCACGACATAATCCACACCAAAGAGACACTCACATTCGTCTTCGAATACATGGTGAGTTGCCCCAGCATTTTACAAAGCATGAGGGAAAAGCCTGGTGCTTGTATGATGAATCTGCTAATATTTTATGGCGTGATAAAATTTTCATTACAATGTGGAAAGTGCCATGGAAAGTTTTCATTATTACGATTAACAGAGCCTATTGTTCTTATGCTCATTCTTGAATCTTGCTTCTTTGCCCTTCATATTTGCTATCTCTTTCCCCTCACCAGCAGTAATTAATAAGAATTTTGAGTTTGTCTTCTAAATAAAACGTCTACAATTTCAAAAATCTATTTTTAAACACCAGCTGAGCAGAGCCCAACATTTTTCATTGACAATGAAGATATAAACCACACGGTTTTAAAACATTGTATACTAGAGGCCTGGTGCACGGATTTGTGCACCAGTGGCATTCCTCAGCCAGCCTGCAGGATGGGGCAGAAACTGTCTCTCTGACATTCTCTAAGGAGTCTGAGATTATGAGGGGGCTCAGGCCAGGCTGAGAGACCCCACTGGTACACCCTCAGGGCTGGGGAGAGACACAGAAGGTTGGCCAGCCGGCAGGGACTGTGGGAGTGCACCAGGGTGTGTCTGGCCCCTCTCACTCAGCCCCAATCGACCAGACCCCAGCAGCAAACTAACCTACAGGTCAGAGCATCTGCCCCCTGGGGTTCAGTGCATGTCATAGTGAGTGGTTGAGAGGCCTTAGCATATCATTAGCATATTATGCTTTGATTGGTTGAACGGACAACCAGATGACCGACACTTAGCATATTAGGCTTTTATTATATAGGATAAGTTCACTGTAGTATTTCTGAGAGGGAAAACTGTTAAAATATTAGCAGAAAGAAATTATAAGGTATGTGTACTTGACTGGAAGCTCCCTGTGTCATTGTGTTCAGTGACAGTCATTTAAATAGAGTGTCTTGTTGTGCCAGGGAAACAAGCTTCCTTCTAAGAGCAGCCAGTTAGAAAGACACACTGGGTTTAACCTTAGCAATGGGGCCTCAGAAAACTTGGCCGTGTACCTTCTTCACCTTATTCTCAAACATCTGAACTTCGTACGACCTCTGACAGTCAAATGCATGGTCTGCTGCAGGGCACTGTGTACACACCACTAACAACAGTCTCTCCACCGTTTCCTGCAGCACACGGACCTGGCTCAGTACATGTCTCAGCACCCTGGTGGGCTGCACCCTCACAACGTCAGGGTGAGTGCTTTAAGGGGCAGGCCTCTCTGGCTGGCCCATTACAGGAGGATTTTGGAACAGGCTGACAGTGCAAAGCAAAGTCCCAGGACACGAAATAAGAAGATGGCCATCACTGATATTCTAGAGAAAAGTTAAAAAAGGGGGGTGGGGGGGAAAGAAAGTTGTTCTTTAAGATATGGAGCAATGTTTAATGGTTTTCTGGGCAGCCTAACCTTGTCAGTCGTTGCTATCAGGCAAATGTGTGCCTAGAAGCATAAGCCAGTTGAAAGAATTACACTGAAAAAAAACAACAACAAAAACAAGTGAAGGTAGGCCATCTTTTATAAAATAAATACCTCTTTCATGGCAGGCTACTGTGCTCTGTGATAATATTTGTTTTGTGTGTATAGTTCCCCACTAGAATTAGCAAACAAGCCACCTTTGCTGGATCCCGATCAGTTACCCTTTTGCCTGTTCTATCAGGTCCTGTTATCTGTGGAGCTAGCTTCCATTTTTCCCCCAGTAATTACAATAGAAATAATAATGAGCTCTTAACAGGTATAATTCTACATGTGTTATAAATCATTTGTATTTTATTCTCTAAAGTTTTATTGGCATTAATTAATTAATTAACTTAGACACAGGAAATTTGCATATGTACTCATTCATTTAGCTAATACTTTATGTATTAATTTATTCATTCAATAAATAAATTAATTTTTGAGATCTTAGTACATATATTAAGTTCTGAGGTTTTACTAACGAATAAGTTGTATTTCTTACTTCCAGTGTGCTTAAAGCCCAGTAAGTTAATGTGGACTTAAATGGGCAGTGAGAAGCAAAGTGATAAGGCTATGGCTGTGTTAAAAGGAATATTGTAAGACTCTTAATAAGGGGCTTAATCTCCTCTTAGAGGCAAGGGGGGAAAGGTTGAGGAGAGAGGAATTGAGGGGAATGAAGAAATCTTAATAACTGTTGGAGAATGGGGTAGAGAACTAACCAGGGAAACCAAGAAAGTCTAATAGTGTATTAAATATTCTAATGAGAATAAAAATCATTAAGTTATCTGCACGTTCGTGGGATTTTTTTTTTTTTTAATGACAGTACTGCCATAGTCAATATTGCTCAGTGGATGGAACGTTGGCCTTGAGGACTGAAAGGTCCAGATTTCGACTCTGGTCAAGGACATATATGTCGGTTGCAGGCTGAATCCCTAGCCCTGGTCAGAGGCACATGTGGGAGGCAACCAATCGATGTATCTCTCTCACATCAATGTTTCTGTCTCTCTTTCTCTCCCCCTTCCTTACTCTAAAAGTCAATGAAAAAATATCCTCGAGTGAGGATAAATAAATAAACAAACAAATATATAAATGGCAGTGCTTAGCTATTTGAACAAAGGAACAGAGAAAGTAGACAGTTTATTGACTCAGAGTTGGGGTTTTGCCAGATAAGTGAGAGGGAAAGACAGTTTGGCAAGAGAATGTTGAAAGGTTAAGCTGGTGGTCAGTGGCTTCTAAACAGAGGGAAGATAGGCAGGGTGCTGAAAGCTAGGTAGAAAGCAGAGAGTCAAGAAACTAGACTAGAGGTGTTGATTAAATAGAAAAATGGGTGCAGGAAAAATAACCGTGAGAAAGATTTTCAGGCTTATGTGACTCACATATAAGACACGGTGCTAAATGCTTAACAGGAAAAAAGACATAGAAGACAGATTCCTGCCCTCAAGACACTTAATCCTAAAACAAGTTAAAAGCAATATACACCAATGCTATTTACATGGCATTTGCGAATAATGCCAAGTAAGAAATAAGACATAGTATGGTAGATGTGTAAAGAAGTAAAATAAATTTTCTCATTTTAAGAGGTCTCATTTAAGGCAGAACTCAAAACATACATTCATTTTAAGAGGCTGAAATAGGGGCAGATGTTACAGAAAGGAGAAATGTTGTTCACCGAAGGTACAGAGCAGGGAAGGAGAGGATGTATTCAAGGAAGAGGGCCCCAGAATCATGGACTGTTAGGGCGAGGGGGCTGACCATGGTTTTCAGTTTTTGGGTTCTGATCCATTAATGGGATATGAAATCAATGTGGTGATTAGCAACCAACATTTTTAAAAAAATGAAATGAAATGGGTAAGAGGACAATAGAAAATGTCTTGTGCAACTTTTGTCCCAGTTGAAACTGTTCTTATATCTGGATATGGATGTAAATACCGGGTACATATAGGTTTCTTACTGTGGCTGCAGTACAAAGAATGCTTTAAAATCACCGCGCTGATCTAACTTCCTCGTTTTGCAAAATTGGAACGGAAGATTTGAGAAGACAAACATTTGGCCTGAGGTTATATAATAGAACCAGCCCCTGCCATAACTAAATATGATTTTTGGTTAGGATGCTTTTCCACTACTGCCATATTGCACCTCTGGTCCTGCTGGCCTGACATATAGACTGTATTCATGAAGCGGGGTACATAAGTCTGGGGAGATTGATTGGGTAGGTGGCTGAGAGCCTCACTTCCTAAGATGTGGACTCTATTCCTTAGACATTAGAGTCATTAAATGGGGTTGGGTTGAAAGAGCATGACATGATCAGAAGGAAATTTATGTAACTGTGGTCTGTGGGATGGATTAAAGAGTGGAGACTGGAGTCAGTTAGGAGTTTATTGATGTGGTCTAGCCCAGTGCTTCTCAAACTTCAGTGAACCGATGAAGGACTTGGGGCTCTGATCCAGGCTACGGTGAGCCCGAGCTTCTGTTTCTAACATGACCCGGGGGATGTGGATGCTGCTGGTCAAGGAACAAACTTTGAATATCAAGAATCTAGGTAAGCAGTGATAAAGGCCTAAATTATGGTAGTGAAGGTGAGAATGGAAAGCAATGTGACAAATGGAAATTATGAAGAGTTCATCCAGGTCATGAAGAGGGAGAGGGTGGGGCCAGACACAAGTGATTTTGAGTTTGATTGACCAGGAGAATTATAGCTCTGTTAATAGAAAAAGGAGGAGTTGGTTTGGAGAAGAGGAGGAGCTCCTAGTTGAGGTGAGGTCCTCGAAGGGAAACGAGAGCAGGCAGCTGAAGAGGACATTGGTGCCCAGGAAGGACATATGAGCTGGAGATGTACACTTGAAGGTAATCTGCACAAGGAGTTTGTAGGTATAGACAAAAGAGTGGATAACCAAAAGGGCAAAGCCACAAAGGGAAAAGGACCGGTGATAGAACTTTCACTTTTAGGGGATAAGAAGGGGAACCGGACAACAAGGGACAAAGGGAAGCAGCTTTTAGGAACACAGAGGATCCAGAAAAATATGTTTCTGTGGAAGCCCAGGGAAGAGACAATTCCAAGGAGGGTCTGGTTGAGATTGTCACAAATACCAAAAATACAGATGATAATTATACTGGATTGCAAGGACTTTGTAACTTTGTGAGGGATATATTACGGGATTGGGAGGCAGAAAGGAAGAAGTTAGTCCAAGCAAAGCAGGTGGGAGTAGGACTGAGTTCCCCATAGAAGAGTCAGCAGTGAAAAAACTGGGATGCCAGAGAAGGCATGGTACATTCCAAGAACTAATGATAATTCTTAAGGCTTGAGGTTTGGAATTCACAGGGCAGGGAATAGTTTGCGATGAGATGTGAGAGGTAAATGGGAGCCAGAGCTATGTCATTTTATTCCATATAAGGAGCCATTAAATGATTTTAAACAAGGAAGTGATAAATTCAGATTTTTTGTATTTATTTATTTATTTATTTATTTATTTAATTTTATAAAGCTTACTCTGATGACACTGTGGTGAATAGTTTGGGAAAAGAAAATACATTTTTGGGAAATGTTATAGTCCCCTGAACTCATTCCCTTTTTGGTTTTTTTCTACTTCCACCCTATCCTCCCATTTCCTCTAATCATTCCCTAAATGCTGGTGTCTGTTGTCCTAGCTTTGACAGTGAGGTTAATCAAGACAGGTGCAGATGATGGTGGAGGAAAGTGGACATATATGTGATCAACTACTTAGCCAGAATTCCCAACAGACAGAAGAATCAGCAATAATTTTTCTAGCTTTATATATTTAGATGATAATAATGCTATTCAGAGAGAGAGAGATAGAGAGATAGAAAGAGAGAGAGAGAGAGAGAGAGAGAGAGAGAGAGAGAGAGAGAGAGACAGAGAGAGAGAGAGAGAAGAGGAGCATGAGTTTTAGAGGGAAATAGTGAGTTAAGTTTCGCATATCGGATATTCTGAGTTTGATGTGATTATAGGATGTCCAAGTGAACTTCAGACTACATATATGGGTCTAAAGTTGAAGAGAGAATCTGAGTTGGAGATAAAGATTTTGAAATCTTCAGAATACAGTTGTTAATTGAGGCAGTTAGTAGGTAAGATGACTAAGGGAGAGTATGTGGAGTGATAAGAGAAGGTCCAAAATGGAGCCCTAAGGAATTTGAATATATTAAAGATCAGTAGAGGAAGTGGATAGAACTTGAAAAAAGAGCAGTCAGAGAAGTAGGAGAAAAATTATAAGATTGTGTTACCAAGGAAAAGCTTCAGGAAGCTCAACAATTCTAAATGCTGCAAAGAGAAGGAATGAGACGTTTCCATTGGATTTCCATAGCAAAAGGCATTGGTGATTGTGAAAAAACAACAACACATCATGAATGACATAATCAAAATAGGTGCATATGATGGCATGACCTATGGAAAATGTTATCATGGAGTGAGGGGCTGAAGCTGACTGGAGAGGCAGGCCACTGGTGTTGAGGAGGTCAGCTTGCCATGCTCACATGGACACTGATGTCCAGGAAGCAACAGCTGTGATCCAGGAACCCAAGTCTTGAGAAAATGATGGAGGATGGTGGGTGTGTGGATGACGGTGACAAGAGGAGTAGAGGAAGATGTAGCTGGATGGCAAGAAAGTCTAAACAATGGGAGGTTTTACTTAAGGGTATAGAAGTGATGGTTTTGAAGTGGGATTGAGGGGTCAGGAGGCAGCTGACCCCACCTCACTGCGATCAATGTGTGAATGAGCTATAGAAAAGCTAGCAGCCGCTTAAGAATGCTATAAAGGAGCAGTGAGCTCAGGGTCCCATTGCAGGAAAGAAGCCGGAAGAAAATCCATCAGAGTTGAGTTGTAAAGAGTTTTTAATCCAAGATTGAGGAGTGAAGAGTGAGCGGTGAAAGGTTTGGGAGAGGAAGGAACCATAGATTAAATGAAGGGAAGTGCAGAGCAATCTAAAGGTGAGCTTATGGGAGGAAAAAAGAGTTGTCAGAGAGCTTCTGTTTTGAGTAGTGACCACAGAAGACATGATGGGAGTTGCCTGGGATTTAACAAAACACAGGGATCCCTGGTGAGTGGAGCACTCGGGCTTCCCTACAGGACTTGGCTGACGGATCTGATTGTGTTTTGAGGGATTCCAGCCCAGATGGCAGTAGCCCAAAGGGATTACATTTTGTTCCCAAGAGCCTCATGGTGCTGGAAACAGAGCCAACCCCTGGGTACAGCAAGCCTCTCTGGAAAGAGTCACCCACGACCTGGCTTGACGTTGACTGAAAAAAGCAACATCCGGTGGGGTCATATTATCAGTGAAGCTTCGGCAGGAGTGAGGGAAGAATCCAGGCTGTAAAGGATGGAGGAGCCAGTGGGTGGTGAGCTGCGTCAGCACACACTGCAGTTTCGAGAAGTGTGTCTGTGGGACACCCTACCTTACCACTCGGGAGCTTTGCTGTTGACACATGCTTGCAGACAGTTATGTGGAGCCAAGGAGGAAAGAGACTGAGAGCAAGAAGGTAGGAGGAGGGGGTGACTAATTAATGAGAACTGTCTCTCCTGGGGACATGAAAGGCATTTCAGCCGGGCCCTCCTAGCAGCTCTGCGGCTGACTCAGCCGGCCCACTCCCTCTCCCTGTCATGTTTTGACTTTCTGTCTTTTCTTCGGCTTCTCTGGATGGTGGCCTGGAGTCAGGCACATCTGAATTTGAGCTGTGGCCCTGACTCTTTCTAGACATATTTTCAAAGTTTCCCATTTTTTCTTATCTGTGAATGGAGGACAAGCATACCTTCCTCACGGGGGGTGTTTTGGGGATTGATGGATAGATTATTGAAAAGGTGACAGGCACTCAATAAACAGTATTTTCCCTTTCTTCCTTTTTCTTTCTCTTCCTCACCGATCTCCATCTTTCTGTCTCCTGTCCCTCACCTGGCTCCATCTCTCCCTTTCCTATACTGTCCCATTGAAAAACATAGACTGTGGCAACATAGCTTTCAGCTGGGATTTCAGTTGGATTTTTTTATATTGCCTTCTCCATAAACATTATAACCAATTGGAAGGTTTAAATGATGGTATAAGAATTTTGTGTTTCGGTAGCTTAGTAGTTTGATGAGTAGAAAAACAAATAGTGTGTGTATATGAAGCACTAAGAAGATAAAGCTTTGAGGAAGATTCATAGGACCAGTGAACATTTGAAGTAGGTGCTTCAAGAAGTTAAAAAAAAAAAAAAAATATATATATATATATATATATATATATATATATATATATATATATATATATAATTGATTTCAGAGAGGAAAAGAGGGGGAGAGAGAGAGAGAGATAGAAATATCAATAATGAGAGGGAATCATTGATCCATTGATCGGCTGCCTCCTGCACACCCCACACTGGGGACCAAGTCCGAAACCTGGACACGTGCCCTCTACCGGAATTGAGCCTGGGACCCTTCAGTCTACAGGCCAATTATCCACTGAGCCAAACTGGCTAGGGCTCAAGATATTGTTAACATTCTTAAATGGTTTATGAAACTGATGTGGGATCTGCATCGAACCTACAAGGCCACAGAGTGTGTGGTAGGTAATCACCGCCCCCCCTGTCCCCCCCCCTCCCCACTCCTGCTTCCATCAGACCAGGCTGCTCATGAACTTGGCTCCAGTGTCTCCAAGTTATTGTGAGATCGGTACAGGTCCTAGCATCTCTGCAGTTCCTAGTTTCCAAGGTGTGATGGGAAAAGTGGGTTTATCCACACAGCTGTGTCTGCTATTGTGCCTGCGTCCACAGGAAACCTGGGCTGGTCCTTGCTTCTCTAGGCTGTCAGAACATGCTTGCAGTTGGCATGGGTCTTTGTAAACACTAATGTTGGTATTTGAATTCCCAATTGCCAGTGGCACTAGAAAAATAGCAAAAGACACTTGGAAAACAAAGTATTCTTTTCCCCCTTAAACTTCTAGAATGGTGGGGATCTAAAAAGGTCTGGTTACTGTGTCTTATAACCATGTGCAACATCTAAAATTTGGGGCCCTGAATGTATTTTTGTTGTTGTTGTTTCCCTTTCCCTCTTCTTTCTTCTCTCTGCTATTTATTTCTCAGTCTCTTCTGATATTTTTTTTTTTTTTAGAGGGGATGTCTAATTTTTTTTTGGTCTCTCTCTTCCCTCTTAATATCTACTGTATATTTTCCTTATTTTCAACGTTCAACCTAAGACTTTAAAAATAGGTTTAGAAAGATAACGGTCCCTTTTTTCCCTTTTACCGTCTAAGGATACGTCTCCCAGGCTGGTCTCTGTGTGCAGTGTTTCAAAAAGGCTTTCCTATCAGAGAGCTTGGGAAGCGCACGCAGTTGTAAACCTTAGAATATCATTCCCAGGTCAACTTTGATCTTACATGCCAAGTTCTTCGGGTGGGGGGAAAATTAAATCTCTCCAATCTAAATCAATAACCAGTGTTCCAAGAGAAACTTCAAAGTTTCGCTCTACATTTTTAAGGACGGGTAATTCCGTCAATACCAAAGGAATGAGAAGCCAGGGAAAGCCAGAATCCCTTTGTTTAGGGCATGGTCTACTTACTTGGTTTTCCTGGTTCTTTTCCCCTCCTCTGAATATAAAGTCTTCTCTTTTTCTTTTTTTTTCTTTTTTTTTAATCTCTCAAGAGACACTTTTACTATATTCTACGGATGACTGTTTTTGATTTAGAGGAGAAATCCACACGTAGTGGCTCCAATCTGTTTAGATAAGGTGTTCATTCCTTCCAGCTTTTCATGTTCCAACTTCTGCGGGGCCTGGCGTACATCCACCACCAACACGTCCTTCACAGGGACCTGAAACCTCAGAACATTCTCATCAGTCACCTGGGAGAGCTCAAACTGGCTGACTTCGGTAAGCTGCCCCTCGAGCCTCTTTCTGGGCTGCGAACAATGACGCTTTTGTGAACACACATGTTTAAAGCATTGACGAGTCCCGGCCTTTGAAAAGCGGAGGCCCAGTGAGAGCGATGCTTTGCGAGGGTATTACACTACCATACAGGAAGTGCAGGGCAAGACACGGAGAGACTGGCAGCTCCCTAGGACCATATCCGGCTCCAGTCTGGTCAGATCCTAAAACCTAGGCACCCCTGCTAGCCTACTGCCTTTTTCGATACAGAGACATTTGTAGAGTGAACTGTACTTGGTAGGTTTCCCTAAATCTAGATGGAGACACACATTCTATCGGAGTAGATTGAGGATATCCCAGGACTGTGGTTGGCAAACTGCGGCTTGGGAGCCACATATGGCTCTTTGGCCCCTTGAGTGTGGCTCTTCCACAAAAACCACAGCCTGGGCGAGACTGTTTTAAAGAAGTGGCGTTAGGAGAAGTTAAAGCTTTAAAAAATTTGGCTCTCAAGAGAAATTTCAATCGTTGTGCTGTGGATATTCGGCTCTGTTGCCTAATGAGTTTGCCGACCACTGTCCCAGGATGACAGGATCAAGCTCCAGATGTTAGACAGACTCTTCCTGCAATGAAGGCTCTTTGTATCTAGATGAGGCTTTTATTTCCACTGAAGTGATGCCGATTCCTCCTGAGTATTACTGTATCTTTCCATTTTACCACTTAGCCCAGTTTATAATCACACACACACACACACACACACACACACACTCATTTGTGTGACAATTTTGACTCCTCCACTAGACTATGGGCATTAAGATGGCAGCCTGGGTCCTTTTCTGCTTACAGCTGTATCCCCAGTGTCTGGCACCATAGTAGGTGCTCAGCAGACATTAGTTGGCCAGCTGGTCCCGTGTGAGCTGAGGAGCCACTCTTCCCTGTTTGGCAGATGACAGATAGTTGTACTGTCGCTGCAGCACTTCATTCTGAGATGGCAGCTTCCACCCGGGCAATGTAAACATTTAACAGGCATTCATTTATCCATGCCCCACCACAGTGACTCATCTATTGACTATTCTTCTGGCTGCAGATCATGCGGGTCTCTGAGATCAATGGCTGGCCGACAAAGCACTCTCATTGTACAGAGGAGCACTTGAAAATGACTCATCTAAGGTCCTACCAAACTAACCAGTTTGGATTAGCAATCCCTCCCTTTATCTAAGTGGGGATTCCTGGACTGCAGACATGGAGGGCGGCCATATTGGTTATGAATTGAGACCCAGAATTAAAGAGGAGGACACATGTAGGAGCTTACTTACTCTCACATAACCATCTGAGCTGAGCAGTCAGAACGTATAAGGTGGCACTCCAGTGCGTGGTGCACCCTCCTTCTGTCTTGGCCCCACCGTCCCCAGGGTGTTGCCCCCCCTTCCCCCAGGTGCATATTTCAAGACGATGCCGCCTCCTTCTTATTACAGCTGGGAGGTGGGAAATCTGGAAGTTCACACATCACTTCTGTTCATATTGTGTAGGAAACATTTAGTCACTCATTATACTTAGCTGCCAGGAAGGCCACATCCAGCTGCAAAGTCAGCCAAACTGTGAGAAATGGACTTAATGAAGAAGTGCACAAGGATTAAGATAGTTGGGTAGTTTTATTCAAAGCACCCAGAGTGTGTGTATTACTTTTTTAAAAAAATTTCTTTATGATTAAGGTGTTACATATGTGTCTTTTCCCCCCATTACTTCTCCCCTCCCCCTACTCATGCCCTCATTACCCCCTACCCCCGTTGTCTGTGTCCACCGGTTAGGCTTATATGCATGCACACAAGTCCTTTGGTTGATCTCGCCTACCTTCCCTACCTCCCCTACCTTCCCCCTGTTACTTTTTAAATATTGTTAACTCAGCCAGCTGTCCCCTCTTGGTAGAATGTGTCACTGTGGCTCTCCAGGAGACCATGGGACAGTGAGTGCTGTGCTTCTCTCCTTTGGACAGGTCTTGCTCGGGCCAAGTCCATTCCCAGCCAGACATACTCTTCAGAAGTTGTGACCCTCTGGTACCGCCCTCCTGATGCCTTGCTGGGAGCCACTGAATATTCCTCTGAACTGGACATATGGTAAGAGCTAAAGCCCCCGAAATAGGAGCCACCCTACTCTTGAGGGTTACTTTATCATCTGTAGTACATTTTTATTTTTTATTTTTTTATTTTTTTTTAAAATATTTTATTGATATTTTACAGAGAGGAAGGGAGAGAGATAGAGAGTTAGAAACGTCAATGAGAGAGAAACATCGACCAGCTGCCTCTTGCACACCCCCTACCGGGGATGTGCCCGCAACCAAGGTACATGCCCTTGACCGGAATCGAACCCGGGACCTTTCAGTCCGCAGACCGACGCTCTACCACTGAGCCAAACCGGTTTCGGCCATCTGTAGTACATTTTTAATAATAATTCTAAAGACAATCACATTTGTCTACAGAAACATAAAGTGCTTTCAAATACCTATCCCATTTGATTTTTCCAATCATTCTACAAGTTTTTACAGTTAAAGAAACTGAGACTCAGATCGGTCTTGCAGCAACTCACCACGGCCATCAGCCCGGACGCATTGTAGTAGCCATTGCACATGTGTGAACATCAAACGTGCCAGTGTCAGGACTTGTAGCATGGGTGTCAGTGACTTGGAAGAGCTCCCCGTACTCACTCCTCTCCCTCCCCCAGGAAACAAGTGGTTGTAGAAGGAGAGTGAATCGGACATGGTTAGCAACATTCTTTAAGCAGGAGTCAGGAGTAGGCTGTGTAACTGCAAGGATAGCTTGGGAGCCCAGCACCAGTGATGCTTAGCTCTCTGACGGATTATTTTAAGACATGCTGTGTCATCAAACTCCTGATGTAAAGGACGATACCATGGATAAACATAGACATCAAAGAGTCTGAGTCAAATGCTGAATGTGGAAAAAAGTTTCAGGGACACCTAAACCAATGTCTTTCACTTGATGCTCCAGTTTTTGCATGTACAAGTATGACAGGTGATAAAAAATAATCTAAGTGTATAACAACTCTTTCAATAAGTGTAAAGACAACATTCTGAGCATGTCATAGTTTAACTCAGATTCACACTCTTGTGGTTCAAGTATAAGAACAAGATAGAGTCCTACCCGGTTTGGCTCAGTGGATAGAGCGTTGGCCTGCGGACCGAAGGGTCCCAGGTTCGATTCCAGTCAAGGACATGTACCTTGGTTGTGGGCACATCCCCAGTAGGGGGTGTGCAGGAGGCAGCTGATCGATGTTTCTATCTCTCTCCCTTCCACACACACACACACACACACACACACACACACACACACATATATATATATATATATATATATATATATATAAAATATATATATAATATATACATATATATATTTTAAAGAACAAGATAGATTAAAAAAAAACACAAAAAACAAGGGCCTACAGTTTATATATATTTGAGAGAGAAACAGAGCAGGTGTTTTGTTTCTTAATGGCACATACAATAATGGTGCTTCTTCCAATGATAATATCTTAGGTTCATGGAAGAGAGTGTTCAGTTGGGAGAGTTAGAAATTTCCCCTCCTCTCATAAAATGGACAGTTAATGAGCTTGAATGAGCCAGAATGTTTACTCTCTATGCTGTGTTCCTGAATGCTGGTTGCATTCCATTTTAACAAAAAGCTGTAGGCTGTTCTTATTTTCAGTTGACAAAGGGACTTTTATTTTTTTTTATTTTTGCCCAGGATTTTATAACAGCATGTGGCCTCTATTGACCTGTCCCCAAAATATTTCCTGGGAGGAGAAATGCTGGCAGTTCAGTTTTGCAGGTCTGGTTTCTTTGAAACTGTCCGTTGACTCATTTCTTTTGCTAGGGGTGCCGGCTGCATCTTTATTGAAATGTTCCAGGGTCGGCCTTTGTTTCCTGGGGTTACCAGCATCTTTGAACAGCTGGAGAAGATCTGGGAGGTAAGAGAAGAATGCCTCTTAGGAAAAAGAAATGTCTGCGTTTCAAACTTTAAATCAGATTTGCCTTTGAGACGAATGACGCAGTCCATCTGCTTTGAGATAGGAAGCTCCGTGTTAAACTCCGGGTTAAGGTCATTTGTGTTTCTCGGACTGGCTTGCGGTGTTTGCAGCAGTACAAGCACCTTGAGAATGAGGGGCCAGGAAGCCCCTGTTGTCCTGTGACATCCCATGAATCCACCTGCGCCCTATATTATAGCCTCGGTCTCTCGGGGCGATTTCTGCCATTCCTAGGAAAGCACTTCTCTGCCTGGCCGCCCCCAGCTCCAATTCCATTCTATGTTTGGCCCTGGGTCTTTGTCAACTGAAGGCAAGACACTGAATTGTTATAGAACTCCATTGGAAACAAAGGCTTAGCATGTTCATGTGAGAGAAATACAGTATTTACCATGCTCCTCCAAAACCAAATTCCGAAGATGTTCAGGTGCTTTTGCGTGGTTTCATTTCTTTTATTCTTAAGTTTATCTTTAAGTATGATTTACATTCCATATTATTTTGTCTTAGTTTCAGGTGTACAGCACAGCGGTTAGACTATCACGTACTTTATGAAGTGATCCCCCTGATATTTCCGGTACCCACCCAGCACCATACATAGTTATTGCAATATTATTGACTACATTCCCTGTGCTGTAGTTCACATCTCTATAACTATCTTGTAGCTACCAATTTGTACTTCTTACTCCCTCGCCTTTGTCACCCATTTCCCCCAAACTCCTCCCCTCTGGCAACTATCAGTCTGTTTTCTGTGTCTCTGAGTCTGTTTCGATTTTGTTTGCTCCTTTAGTTTGGTCTTTAGATGCCACATGCAAATGAAATCATATGGTATTTGTGTTTCTCTGACTGACGTATGTCACTTAGCATAATACCCTCTACGTTTATCCATGCTGTCCTAAGTGTAAGATGTTATTTTTTTATAGCCAAGTTCTATTTCATTGCATATCCACTCTCTATTGATAGGCATTTGGGCTGCTTCCATATATATTTTAAAATTTTATCTTTATTGTTGAAAGTATTATAGATGTCCCTCCCCCCCCCCCCCATTGACCCCTCCTCCCCACCCTCTCAGGACTTCATCATACTATTGTCTGTGTCTGTGGATAATGCATATATACGTATAATCTCTCCTCACCCACCATCCATCCCTGCTTCCCTCTGAGATTCTGTTACATTCTTCTATGTCTCTGCATCTATTTTGCTTCCACATCTTGGCTATTGTAAATAACACTGCAGTGAACATAAGGGTTCATGTATTCTTTCAAATTAGTGTTTTGAGTTTCTTTGGATATGTAACCAGAAGTGGACTCACTGAGTCATAAGGCAGTTCCATTTTTAATTTTTTTAAGAACCTTCATGCTGTTTGTCATAGTGGCTGCACCAATCTGCAATCCCACCAGCAGTGCATGAGGGTTCCCTTTTCTCCACATCCTTGCCAATAGTTGTTTGTTGATTTATTGATGAAACCCATTCTGATAGGTGTGAGATGATATCGCATTGTATGTTTTTAAAATATATTTTTATTGATTTCTGAGAGGAAGGGAGAGGGAGAGAGAGAAAGAAACATCAACGATTAGAGAGAATCATTGATTGGATGCCTCCTGCACGCCCCCTACTGGGTTCCACAACCCTGGCATTTGCTCTGACCAGGAATCAAACCACAACCACCTGGTTCATAGGTCAATGCTCAACCACTGAGCCACACCGACCATACTAGAATTTATCTTTAATACACACATTAAGGTGAAAAAACTTTAGAGAACATTGGGGAAAGGAGGAAAAAATTAATTGCCAGTGTCTGGAAAGTTATTGGCTCACCTCTGTGAAGAAATGCTATACACATCAGTCTAGTGCTAGAAATTCATGACCCAGGAGACATTGTCTTCTGGCTAAAATAAAATGTGCTTTGAGACATTAAGACATTTTATAGAGATTAGTTACTGTCATTAAAATTTTCTTTTGGATACATGGGGGCTATTATGGAGCAACATAGGAAATATTGATTTTTTTTTTTCTCCAAACTCCTCTGCAAGATAGATAAATGCTATTTCTCTTCAAGCAGCATCACTGGGTGCCAAAACATCGTCTAAGCTGGAGGCAGCTTAACGTAATAATAGCTTAAAAGCCGTAAAACCAGGTTTGAATTCTAGCGGCTTGTTAGCTAAACAAATGTGGGCAAGCTGTGTAGTTCCTCTGAGCTTAAGTTTGCTCATTTGTTAAATGGGGCTAGGGGTCATGACTTCCTAACCTTCTGTCAGAATTCCATAAGGTCAAATGCATAGCAAGCCGAAACTGGTTTGGCTCAGTGGATAGAGCGTCGGCTTGGGGACTGAAAGGTCCCGGGTTGATTCCGGTCAAGGGCATGTATGTTGGTTGCGGGAACATCCCCAGTAAGGGGTGTGCAAGAGGCAGCTGATCGATGATTCTCTCTCATCGGTGTTTCTAACTCTCTATCTCTCTCTCTTCCTCTCTGTATAAAATCAATAAAATATATATTTTTAAAAAATGCATAGCAAGCTTCCTGCACCAAAAGTGCTCAATAAATATCTGCTGCCTTTCTCTGTCAGATCAATTATTATTATAGAGAGATTTCAATCACCTACGTGCTGAAAAGCATCTCCTGACATACAGCCTCATTGTTCTTCCATGTGGTCTTACTTCTTGTCCACACAGAGGAAGTACTTAGATATCACAGAACAGAAAGAATGGGCTAGACATTTCCCAGGACCCAATGGCTTTCTAGTGATTGGTTCAAGTTTCCAGGACTGGCCTCGCTGACTGACACTGGCCATCTGAAGATGTGTTTGGTAATTCAGCAAGTGAAAGAATTTGCACTTGAACCTGGACATAAAGTACCAAAACAAACATGTCTTAACAGCAAAAACAAACATGTCCTAACAAATCAGTCTAATAGTTCCTGCCCAGAAAGCCATGTTCATGTCTACCATGTCTTTATCACATTGCAATCAACTGACGGGGACTTTATTTTGACACTTATGACAACTCATTGCAAATTTGAAATAAGTGACCATATTAGAAATACCACTGGCCTGCAGTCAGAAGACGTGAGTTCTGAACCCGGTTCTAACTTCAAGTTATGAGAGAGAGCAATTCACATCACCAACCTCCCTGAGTTTCCAGAGTCATACATGTTACAGAGTTTCCTCAACCTATGACAGGTTATCTCCCCATAAACCCATCATAAGCTGAAAATGTCATAAATCAAACCATAGTAAGTTTGGGACTACTTGTATTTGATTTTCTGATTTCATGAAGTTGTGACTTCTTTGAACAAAAAGAATATTGTAGCTCTCATCATTTAAAAATCATAATATTCTTCTCTATTTATCTGATTCTATCACCTACCCAGGTAGTTTTTATTGAGTTTGTCAACTTGCATAGCTCATTGTTGACTTTTGATCTGAACTGACCAAGGATATAGCTCCATATTGCCTCACCATACTTTATGAGCAGCAGACCAGATTCATTATTTCGTTATGTCTCATTCCTACCTGGTCCCGTCGAAGGAGGACAATGGTTTTGTTATAGCTGTAGCTCCACACTCTGCAGACAAAGTGGGAAAGTCACCAGTTTCAACAGTTTCTGCTACTATATCTTAGGCAGGTTAAACATTACAAATAGTTCCTAAATTTTTGTTTTATTAAACATAGTCTACCCAAATGAGAATAGGCAATCTATTTCCAGTCTACAAAAGTGGATGTAGAAATGGCTTCTTTGAAAGCAACGTGGCCATTCTAAATCTCCCTGTCTCTAAACATAACCTTCCTCTACATTTATCCTGAGGTCTTACTCTTAGAATAAAGACATCACAAGAAGTCCTGAATTTTTCTTTCACCATCTTCCTGAAGTGTGTGTGTGTGTGTGTGTGTGTGTGTGTGTGTGTGTGTGTGTTCACATTTGAATAGCTGTCACATGCTTTCTGGGATCTAATTCTTTCAATAAGCAGTTTTAGCAAATAATCCCAGCTGTGGTTCTAAAATCAGAATAAAACAAACTATGCAGACCTTGAATCCATTAATCAAAATGCCTTTAGTTTCCATTCCAACAAAGGCAGAAAACAGCCCTGCAGCCCACTGTTTTCAAATATAGCACTCACTGGCTGCCTTTTTAGGAGCCTTAAGGGAGGGTATAAATCAACAATTTTTGGTTTTCAGTTTCCCAGACTGAAGTGGAGATTTAGTCATTTTCTCAAGTGAAAACAAATTCAATAACTTTCAAATAGAAACTCAGCATCAAATTTCCAAATAAAGGATATTGAATTTTGTTTAAACATTTAAAATCTCAAGCTTACAGCTTTTAGCATAATATTTAAACATTATTGGTATCCATTTTGGTGATTTAATTAAACAGAATACAAAAATAATCATTCTGGTAACTTTTGCCTTAGAAAAATATGGATGTGGTCATTGTTATTTATTTCTCTTCGTTATCTTTGCTTTCTTTTCATTGTACTTTGCCTGTTAACAGAAGACGTATGGCTTTCTGTGAATCACACCCACTGGTTTACATGCACACCTGTGCAAATACAGATGATGGTAGGTTAAAAATGAGGAAGTAGCTTTCCATCCTCCTGCCCACTCCTACAAAAGTAAAAGTAGTCCACTTGGTTTTTCACAATGGATTCAGGATCCTTGGTGTTCCTTGGGCTCAGGTGGTAGATAGGAGAAGCCTGTAATCCTCTCAGTAGCTTTTCAGCTTGTTTAGGGAATAGATCAAAGAAAGAAGGTTTTGCTGTGTGGCGTGATTTTTTATTCTATGAGGGAGAATAGCACTTTGGTGTCTTTTGTTCGAGGACAAGCTTAACAGGCACACAAAATGTGCTTTCCAGCCGGAGTCCTGGTCAGCAAGCCAGTGAGTAGTAAGGTTCTGGATTCCTTACTGATGATCATCAGCCACTTGTTGGGCAGTTGACTTCCTACTGTCTCTATCCAGCATTTCACATAAATGGTTTCTCTAGCCTCATTCGATAAGAAATGCTTCTAAGAAGAATTATATTGTAATGGTGTAATGCAAGCTATTAGTATTTTACTAAGATTTTATAAAAACACTGTTATTCTAGCTCCCAGATATAACTATATAACTATCACTAGGCTTTTATGACTATCTTTTTTTTTTTTAATGATAAGGTGATAACTATAAAGAAACTCAGAAACATCACCATTCCAAATCTAAAATGTTTTAATACTGTATTCCAAAGGACTTTTATTTTCCTGTTAACTCAAAACTAGAGCCTTAATTTGGTAAGCCAAAGTACAAAGGAGGTGCTCTTCAGTGATGTTGTTACTATTACTATCCACCAATTAAAATCCAAATACCAGACTCCAAGCTGTTGGGCCACAGAAAACTCAAGCAAATGAGATGAATTTGATAGAAAGGACTGGAATTGGTCTGGGGATCATTTTTAGCCAACATTCCACAGCCTAAAGGTCGGTAATCTGAACCCTTTTAATTTGAGCGTATTGTGGAACAGCTGAACGCCAGGCGGGGGCATAGTGTAGGCTGTCAAAGCTTTCTGTTGAATATATATATATTTCTCTAATGTAAGGCAAAGGGACATCCCTCCTGCTTCTTTATCTCCCAGCTCCCAACATAGCATCCTAAGTATGTTGGTCATGCAATAGATATTTAATGATAAGGATATGATTAAGCCAGGCTGTATGATCTGCCTCAGAACAAGTGAGTTAGTGGAGACACAAGCTCAGGACCTGTCTTAGGATTCTTCAGAGAAACAAAGCCAATGGGACATCTAGAGATCTATAAGAGATCTATTATTGGAATTGGCTCATGCAGCCATGGAGGCTGAAATATGCCATTTACAAACTGGAGACCCAGAAAAGCAAGTGGGTCTGCTATAATTTAGTCTGAGATCAAGGCCTGAGAACTGTGGGGGCTGCTGGTGATAAACCTGAGTCTGAAGACCCGAGAGCCGGGGGCACTGATGTCTGAGGGCAGGAGAAATCGGACACCCCAGCTCAAGAAGAGAGAGAACATTCCCTTCCTCCACCTTTTTGTTTCTCTTGGAGCCCTCAGTGGGTTGGATGATGCTTCCCATGTGGGTGAGGATAGGTCTCTACTCATTCCACTGATTCAAATGCTAATCTCTTCCTGAAACATCTCACAGACACACTTAGAAAAAATGTTTTACCAGCTATGTGAGCTTCCCTGGCCCCAATCAAGTTCATCCATAAAATTAACCATTACAGGACAACAGTAATATACTAGTTTTGCCCATACAACTACAAATAGGGAAACACAAAAGTTTCTTTCTTGGATACATCAGCTGGTATAATGTGACATACATCTAATTCTTGCCTGATCTGTCCTTCATGTTGTCATACTTGCTCCATCTACCTCACGTCTCCCCTAACTTTTCTCTGTCTTTTTTTGGCTTTGTGTAGGTGTTGGGAGTCCCTACAGAGGACACCTGGCCTGGAGTTTCCAAACTACCTAACTACAATCCAGGTAACATTTGGATTGAGCTTTGGAATGCTCTGAGAAGTAGCAGGGTGAGAGACTTAGCTACGCAGTGTGTTCTATTATTGTTAACTCAACAGGGGAGATAGGTCTAGACAAATGTTTAGGTTCTTGAATTCCCTGACTAATCCTTTTATGAGGAGCACACTGAAAAAGTAGTTAAGGTTAGATTAGTTCTCAAGCTCTGAAAGCCACAAGCAGCAAACTGAATAAGCATCTGAGATGACTATTACTGTGGATTCCCCATCCGTTTCCAAACACACAAGTGCCCAAGGAAAAAACTAAAAAGATAGTGTTGCTTTTGAGCCCAGGACTGCCATGGATTTATATGCTTCTACGACACAGGGGAAGTAGAAACTCATTGGGCTCATTAAGCCTTGGGCAGGACAGCTGTGTGTCTAGATTGTACAAGAGTTCACCACTTGGTCATTTTCTGTCGCGTCGTTGGTCCTCCAAGACTTGCTCCTAGAGTGGCTATGGAAGTGTTAGAAGTGTGGTCCACAGGGGAGGTCTGAGGAATGGTCCCAAGGCCATGGCAGAGGGGACAGATTAACCAGATGTCACATCCAAGATGTTGAGACAGAAGAGCTGAGATATGCGGTGAGCTACAGGATGGTGGGATGTATCCGATGCTGAAGAAGCAAGAATGGCCACACGAGAGCTGGACTCCTGTGGCCAGGACTGGGGAAGAAGGAGTTATGCACAGATAAGAACAAGGTTAGGGTGAATGTGGCCCAAGTCACATTTTCTAGTCTTCATAGTCTTACAGTGTCCCCTTACTAAAAATGGACTTTTCCCCCCCCAAACTGTTGTCACTGTTAACATTGGTATGAGCTTATCCTGCAAGGGCTTCATGAGAGCAAGAAGCGGGAGAGGCATGAAAAGGGTGGTTAAAGAGAAAAACAATGGACAATGGAGGCTAGGAATGGTTTTCTTTCTGCAGCATCTAGTATTTTTGCTCAAACAGCTATCCACAGGACCAGAGATCTTGAATTAACTAGGATTACGGAAACCTTACAGCAAGCTAAAGGCAAACTATAAAGTCATCTCGGCTTTATGTGAATGGTCGTATGCATTGCTAAATGGCTGTAGGGCCACTGGCACATACTAGTAGGTTACCATTTCTACTATTTTGCTATCTTGGCTCCTGAGAAAAAGGCTGCTGTCTGGCCACAGGGCTTGGCCTTTGGTCTGAGATAGAGAGGAAAAAAAAGAACAGGCTTCTTGCGGAGACCAGGACCCAGGCTGCAATAGTCCCCTCTCCCGTTGCCATGGTTTCTAAGAGAGTCTGGCTTTCGTCTTTTCTGACCCTGCCCATTCCTCTCTTCACCCAGCCTATACTCTCTCCTCCAGGTGAAAATGGGACCCCCACCCCCACCCCAGGTTTTCTACAATGGAAGCAAGCGGACGTTTAGGGCCACAGACGGGTTGTAGAAAACAATTTGGATAATGTTGACACAAAACTGCCACGCTGAGCATGTGATGTTTCCCCAAACTTCAAACATTTGGGTTTCAGGTTGGTTCAGGCAATAAATAGTTTCTCAGCACAGAAGGCCTTGTTGAGAACAACAATGATAGGAACTTGGCCAAATGCTCCCCTGCCAGATTCTGAATTAAATAAGGTAGCCGGGGTTCCACTAAAACAGTGAGACATATGTTACATCTTTCATTTTGCTGTCGTTTCCAAGTAATGTGCAATTTTTTTTTTTCTGGAGAGAAATCTCCAGATAACAGCATCAATCGGGTTCATACTTTGCATTGTTTTTTTTCTAGAAAAAATGAGTCCAACAATTTTAAGCACCTACTATCTGCTGTGCCATGTGCTGGGTCGGTTCTTGGCTGTTTAAGAGCTTGGGTTTGTATTTACTCGTCCACACTCTTTCACCTGCTCTCCTTCTGAGGGGCAGGGTGCTCCTGTGTGAGCTCTGTGTCCATGGGCTTGGGCAAGGCATGGTTGTGGGCAGAGCTTGTGGGAGGACGAGAGTTATAGCCTTCGCCACAGCCAAGATGTAAACCTGTATCTGTACATCTTAACAGTCCAGCTTCTCTTAGGTCTGGGACCATTACCATGGATGACTCCATCATAAGAACTATGTTTTAAAAGGGTCGTCCACCTCTGTGAATTGAGAAATCTCTCTGAGCCCGCTTCCCTATCAACCCCACCCCCCCTGAGCTGCTGCTGCTGCTTCATGCCCTTGTACTCCAACGACTGACTAGGGGGCCCGAAGAGGGGATGGGAGCCAGAAAAATGTCACTGAGCAGAACTGTGGGCACCATTCTGGATGAGCTTTTCGTTGTCTTCCTTTCTGTTCTAACTTGTAGTAAGGACCCCAAACTTTGAACTCAGCTGGCACCGCAATTTTGAGGGAGCCAAAGAGCTCAGAACTTGGCGAATCCTCCAGTTTCCATCTGTGCCCACTCTGCCACTTCCCAGCCGTGTCTGGACTGTGTCTAGGAAGGCAACACAGTCCCTTTGTGTGTAGGTTAACACAACCCACCCGCTGGAAGGATCTGTCTGAGCAGTTACCTGTCTTCTAGGAACACTGGCGAGAAGGGTTGTAGTTATTCTAGCCCTCAATTCAGACTGTTGTGCCTGATTAAATCAGGGCAATGGAAGAGGTGTGTGACTTTAGAGACTGATCCTTTGCTCCCTTCCTTCTTCCTTTCTTCCTCCCTCCCTCCCTCCTTCCCTCCTTTCCTTCCTTCCTTCCTTTCTTCCTTCCTTCCTTCCTTCCTTCCTTCCTTCCTTCCTTCCTTCCTTCCTTCCTTCCTTCCTTCCTTCCTTCCTTCCTTTCTTCCCTCCATCCCCTCTCCCATCCCCATTTTAAGCAAGCTGGCTGAGAACTCTGTGTCCTCTACTTCAAAGGGCCAGTTGTCTTATTTTGATGTGGGCAGATTAAGAAGTAGCCTTTGAAAAGTAGGCTTTCTTCCTTTTCTTTTCTTTTTTGTTTAATCTTTTCTCCTGGGATAGCTTTCAGAGCAATATATCCAAGTGTCAGTGAGGGGGGTTCTGACGAGCGCGGATTCCCAGACTCTCAGCAGGATCGTTCTCTAACAGAAATATAAAAGTGAAATATTAAAAACCCTGGAACGTGAACTCCATCTGCAGAGTAGCCAGTGTCTCGCCTGCTCGCACCCTGGGAAAAAAAGATCTCCTTGAAAAAAGAGGGAGGAGGAAAAAAAAGTGCTTTGAGTAAGAGGTTTACAGGTTTAGTAGAGCATAGTAACATCCCCTCAAAGAAGTGGGTGTTGCTCTGTGACCCCCCAAAATGCTCCTCCTTTGACTCAGCCGCCAGAACACTCACCCTCCCTTGGCAACACACCCCCTTTTCACATGCTAACTGAGTCGCCTGTGATTGGCTGAACAATGAGCTGGTCACACTCACTAAAGGCCTGCCATCCTTCAAACAATTAGCCAAGACACATTAATCAAACTGGCGGGAGCAGGGGCTGCGCTGGCCTCCCGCGGTGGGGGAAGGGGGCAGTTTTGTGATCCTTAATAAGAGTCTGCAGGAAGCAATGATAAAGGACAGCACGTTAGAGGGGATTCTCTCAGAAAGCCTAAAAAGGGGAAAACCCCAACTGATGCCGTAACTGTGAGGAGCTGGGTTTGTGGCACAGAAGATCCCAGGAGCTTAGAGCAAACTGGATATCGGTCTTGGCTAAAATCTGCTAATGCAAGACAGTAGTGTGAAGGCAAGGGGTGGGCCCCTGTGGACATTTCCACAACGTTCCCTTACCCCCCCCCCCCCGCCCCAAGGAAAAACAACCCAGGAGTCCCTTCCCTTTTGAGCCTCAAGTACTTTGGGCCCAACTGGAACCAATAGGAGTAAAGCATATATAAAAATAGAGAACTGTTTAGAATCAATTAAGAGACGTATCAGCTGACAAGATGTTGGTTCTATATGAAGTATTTGGAGGCCATTAAAAAATAGTGAATTTTGAGATTAAAAAAGAAGTTAACATTTGTGCTTTTTTATAAAAAAAAAAAAATAAAAAAAAAATCCTTACCTGAGGATATGTTTGTTGATGGGGAAAAGAGAGAGAGAGAGAGAGTGAGAGAGAGAGAGAAGAGGAAGAGAGAGAGAAGAGGAAGAGAGAGAGAAGAGGGAAGAGAAACAATGACTCCAGTATATGCTCCGACTGGAATCCAACCTGCAACCTCCTCCGGTGTGACACTACAACCAGCTAAGCCATACGAGCCAGGGCCACGTTTGTGTGTTTTACCTTCTGGCTTTTCTTTTCCCAATTTCCTCTACATAGATTTTCCAATGGCAATCTAGAGCTTATAAGATCGTACCTTAGAGACGAGTTCACCGCGGAATTGTGTAAGGCTTTTAAAAGACTCGACTAAATATTTAGACATTTTTCAGCTAACGTAAACAGAGGCCTCACTGCCCTGGAGGTTGCCAGATGCCATCTCATTAGATGCAGAGATCCTGTGATAAAGAGAAACGTTTTTCCTGCCACGTGATTGCAGCCCCGTTGTGGTTTTTAATGTGTCATTGATTGTTTCATCCAACTTCTTTTGCTCCCCTCAAAGGGTCTGCCGTGGCTCTGTTTGCTTCCTTAAACACGGTTTCTGAAAGCACTCACGCTGTGTGAGCTCAAATCCTAGCATTAATGTACTGCTGGGTTCATTTCACCACACTCAAAAGCGCCGAGTTTAAATCCCTCTCAATTCCATTTGGGGCACCCGAAGACTTTATCCTTCTTCACTAATGGTTCCAAGTTTACATCTAGATCCTGGGGTCAAGGACAGGAGAGGATTTAGAAATAACAGTGCATGACATTAGGCGATGCATTTGCCAAATTGGCAATTAGTTCCTGATGTGCGTGCAAAGCGTCTCATTCCTGTCTCTTTGATGCTCTGTTCCCATTGAGAAGGGAATGGAGTCCGCAGAGGCCTTCAGACTTTTCAAGGAATATCTGCTGAAAATCATGCCTGATTTGTGGCATGAGCTCAGCTGCAGGGAAGCATCCGGGAT